GCGGGAGAGACTGGGCGGCCCGCGGGACTGGGCGGCCCGCGGTCTCCAGCTGAGGGCCCTGCGTCTGCGGGCAATGTGAATTCCTTGCAGAAAGACCACGCGAGTTCCTGATCCAGGCGCTGGAAAGGGTGAAGGCTGGACCCCGAGCCGAGGGGCAGTACCCGCACCTCATGGACGAGGCCAACCTGGCCGCCATGTTCCGCTTGCTGGACGTGGTGGGCCAGGGCCGCGTAACGCCAGCGCAGTACCGGGAAGGTGCGTCTCACCTGGAGAGCCGGTCGTGCTCACACGGTTGCGTTGGTTTGCACGGAATTACTAAAAACTTGTACTTTAAAAACTTTAAAAGTAGCCACACGTCTGGAACTTTACATATTTTAAAGTGATGTATGTTTACCTTTTATTCTCTCTAGTCCACTTTAAGGTGTTAAATTAACCTCTCAAAGACTTCCATAGGAAATTATCTTTCCTTTTAGCTCTTAAAACTTTGGGACTGAGCACTGAAGATCTGCAGTTTGGAGATGATGTGAATATCACACTGGATGTATTCAAGGAAGGAGTGTAAGTTTAAGTGAAAGGGGTTTTTTTAGGTGCAGGAGTATGCACAGGAGATACTTTACTGATTCTTTTTATTTATTTACAAAAATACATAATTAAAGGACTTGCTGCTTTAACCCAACTTACTTTGCATTGCAAGACCTAAAACGGTCTGTTATTGCCCGACTGTGTTTGGCTTGCTGTGACCCAAACCAAACTCACCTTTACCTCCACCATCTCCATTCTGTGGTTCTCAAAGCAGCCCTCTCAGATTACCCACTCCTCAGGTCAGACAGACCCTCAACAGGGAGCTCAGGGGTTCAAATACTGATCTAGAATTATGAAAGTGTTCTCTTCTTTGCACAGCTGTAGAGGAAACAACCTCAGAGTTATAATAAGTTCTCATGGTCAAGGTATGGTTCTAGAGGCAATTTTTTAGTAGCTTTTGCAGTCACCAAAAGGGAACAGGAAATAATTATCCTCATTGTTATCTAACTAGAATTCTTTTTTTTTTTTCTTTCTGTTTTAGGAAGAAGAGGATGCTGGAGAGCTGGGCTGGGTATTAGCTTGAGCAGTGGTCTGCTACATATATTAGAAATAGGCATCTTGCTCCAGATCTGGTTTGTCAGCTGTGGATGGCCAATACTCATTCCCTCCCCCTCTAAGCAATCAGCTGAAAAGGACAAACGACAAAGAACTTGTTCACACTTAACAGGCCCTAGAAGGGTATTTTTTGATAATTGATTTTCTTAATGCAAGTAGATGGTTTAAAAAAAAAAAAAAAAGAAATCTTATTTACACAACTAAAATAATGTTTTGAAGTTTCCTCCTTGAGTTTGTAGCTTACGGTAGGGGGTTGGTACCTGCTGGCTCATTACCATCATTAATTTTAGGAGCTGAGCTGTTTCATAAGTTGTTTTTGGGGCTTGTGCAGTGTTTTGCCTTTTTTTTTTTTTTTTTTTTTAGCAAGTTATGCCCAATGTCCACAGTTAAAGAAAGGTAGCACTTCTGCAATTTTTGAGAAACTTAAAAAAAACCTAGGAGATACTTTGGTACAGAAAAGAAAAAAAATTTGAATTAGTATGAATAAAGAAAACAAAGTGACATACTCATTCCTTCAGTGTCCTGTTTGCACATATTTTAATAAAGAACATCCATTACCTAGGATTTGTAAAACATGCACATTTAAGTGAAGGTGGACCAGGTCACAGGGAAGAGTTGTTTACACTATAAATACTCTGTATTCCTTAGAAAGATGTTACAGCACACAACCCTGACCAGGCAGACATATCCATTAAAAGATGAAGGCAGTTTAAGCTTCTAAAGGCAATGGCAAGGGCACTAAGGAAAATAAGATCTGTGCCCTTAGAAAGGTAGCATTTTGAATTTTTTTGAAAAACTGTATAGAACAAGGCAGAAGATTAGATTAAACAAGTCATTCAGCATACAGTATTGAAAAAATAACCAACTGTATTACAACATACTTGCTTTGCTTTTGTTTAAAATAAGTTAGACCAAGTTATTAACCATTTCTGAAGAAGTCTTTTATTTTCCTGTATTTGGCCAACTAGCTCTCAAATTGAGAAGAATCTCAACATCCTTTTGAGCTAATTTATAAACTCCAAGTTCATTTAGTGCCGCTGTTGCAGATGGCTGGTTTGGTTTTAATGTTTCATTTTCTGAAGCTGACTGTAGTACATCCTTCAGCAGCAAGGCAGAGCCAATATTCAGGTTCAAGATAATACAAGCTTCTTTTATGCTAGAGGGAAAAATTACATGGATTAAGATGAGAAGGACCCATGAGATAATCACTGTGTGCACAAAGTTAAGTGTAACCAAAAAAAATCCACAGACTTCTGAAAATGATTAGGAGCATTGAACTGAAAAGTGGTGTTTAGATCAAGGCAAACAGTATACTTGTTCTTACTGTCTAAGCCTTTTCCATTATGTATGTGTATTTCATAATCATCAATATTTTGCCTCCCAGCACTCAGCATAACTTTTGCTTCTTAAGTTTTTTCACTAGTATTAAAAATAAAGAATAGAATTCACCATTTAATCAGCCTAGCTTTCCCTAGCTACGTTTGCCCGTAAGATAATTAGGAACTTCTTCAGTATATTTTAAGAGCACAATTTAACACACAGTTGATAGAACCTGAACATTTTTCCTAATTAATATCATTAGGGAACAAACAGATACCCTGTCTTTGTCACATTGTTTCTAGTCTAAATACAATAGATAGCTGTGTCCCCATTAGGCTTTTTTTAAATGGTTCCTGTGTGTCCTCTTATGCTGGGAATAATACAGATGTATCAATACCTTTATGAATGTGATATGCTCAAAAAACCCCCCCTTAAATCTGAGAATGAATATTCCAATTTAAAAATGCCAGCATATATTTGTCTTCAAGTGTTCAAGACTGAATGCCATGCTCCATATTAATTTGAAAATATTAAGATTTCTGCCCCAATTAGCATAGGAGTTTAGCGCTGGACTCTAGAAGACTGTGGACTATTTAAAAGACTGATCACAAAGAGGGTAGTTTCTTCTCATCAATGAAAGCAACTGGACCACTATGCAAGGCAATTCTAAGCAGGAACAGAGTTCAGTCCTCCTTCTATAAAGAAAGTTTACTGTGTTTCAACTGTATCTTTGAGTACTTTATTTGGCCCTGGTTTCAAAAGCCTGTGCTACTTACATTCCTTCCATAAGTTAATTTACTTAGATATCCTGACTGCACAAAATACTCCAGGACACATGCCACAGTCCATTGCTATCTGAGCATAGGCTGCAGAATCAAAACTTTCCTAGTTGTAGACACCAGAAGCATAAATGATCCACATATTTTAAGCGTGATTCAAAACTAACTGAAAAAAATCTTGGTGATACATAAAAAAAAAAACATATATTCATCTGGACATTCACTTCTGAAATACCAACAGACCAGAAGTTTGCCTACTTACTGCTTGAAGTAGTTTTCTGGCCTCTTGCAGTAGTGCGAAAATAAAGGGAACAGATTTCTACTCATGTCAAACTGGAGTTGTGCTGCTCCTCCTTCATTGAAATGATTTGCCATAATTATCTACAAACACAGAGAGGTACATCTGCTGTTTAGGCCAGTCACTAGCACCTATTGCATGGGTCGCATTTTGCCGATACCTACTTCCTGATAGATGTATATATCCACTTTCTCTGCAAGCATTTGCCAGAAAATTTTGAACAGTGAGTGACAGAGCTGCTGTTCTAGTTGTAGCAAGCGGTCTCGTAGGGTCAACAACATTGGGCAAGCTGTGCTCGATAAGGACATCACTGCTTGCTCTGCTTGAGATGGTAAAGACAACCACCTGAAAGAAACGATCGCACTGAAGTCATTGTAATGAAGTTATTCACATTACAACAACTGAAGTTAAAATTATCCTTTAAAAAAAAAAAAAATCTTACCCATTTACAATCGTTCAGAGAGAGTTCTCCTTTCCAATTTCAAATCTAAAAGTAATCAGTCTAATGCTGTTTTTAGATTTCATTCAGTATTAAGTCATGCTTTAGTTACAAATCTCTGAATCTAGAAAATCATCATATTCCTTTTTTTAAATACCTCAGAACTGTTCTACACAGGAGCAAACATTCAAGCAGCCCTATGAGCCTGTGAAGACAGAACAGTCATCAGAGGCCATTTCATATTAACTCTTTAATACTACTATGAAGAAAATAATTCTTGTCCAAACTAGAGTAATCCAGAATTCTCCCTAAGGTTTTTAAGGTAATGTGTCCACTAACTGTGGAACTACTTTAGAAAATATTAATTAAAATAGTCTTGAGGTAAGTGTTAAGAGAATTTTCCAAAGCTTACTGCCCTGTGCCATTCCTATTCAGGAAAATAATTTTGCCTATTAGCTATTCCTTCCTTTATTTACCTCAATATTTTTATTAGGAAATAATATTGTAATATGGGAAGAGAGTGAACAGATAGAATCACCTCTCTTTTTTATACAGCTTTGCAGCATCTTTGACCTCTCTGAAGACATGATCTACTTGACGAGTGAGCATATCATGTTTCAAGCGTTCCAGGAGGTTAATCATTTCATCAAAGACAGAACTCTCCATCGAAGCCAGCTGCCCTAGCTGTAGTTTACTGACAGCATTACTTTCTGCACGAACTTCCAGCTCAGCCTGCTGCAGCTGCAAGAAGAACTAGAGAAACAAAACCAGATAGGAAAACCACAAAAAATAATCTTACCATTTGAACTTTTCATTCATACTTTAAACAGGCACAGTTGTAGAAAACACTCTCCTGACCAATTTATAAACTTAAAATTTTAAGATTTTAAAATCACTTTCTTATGGTTCCCTGTGGCCCTGAAAAACAAAACACAGTGGTGGAACTGATATGGGTTTCAGATATGAAAGTAGAGAGCTAAGGGGAACAGATCTGGAGAAATACCAAAAAGATATTTTAAGACTGACAGCAGAAAACTCAAATAAACCCCTGGTTTTGTCCTTTTTAGGATTTGCAAAAGTAAACTAGAATCTTTAATTGTAAGTTGTTTTAGAAATAATCGTTCATTAAATCATAAATTTTCTGGGCTAACAACTTCAAGAAAATGAAGCAAATTTAATGTGACATAGTGGTAACAACTTATTGGGTTTTGCTTTTAAGCTGATCAAGATGCTTCAGCAGACACAGCAATACAACATGAAGGCTGCTGTCCTATCAAGCCAAGATTATCCTCTGCTAGAGACACAGTTTCCTACAAAGACAAAAAGGATTTGGAGGCTGCCCACCTTGCACACAATACCTCTTTTTACACACTTTACAAGTAATAGCTTTTTTGACCTTTTGTGCCAATAATCACAGAAAAGCTGAAATGCTATGCAACAGCCATGCTGCCACCAGGCTATTACACAGCAAAATCATTAATTCCCAGTTATCAGCGAGTGGCTTTTCTGAGCAACACCTAAACCAAGCTGCAACGCAGACACCCATGCTGAGTCCGTTTAAGCTGACCTGCTATAGGAGTAGTTCAAGCATTATGCTCAGGCTACTGCATGCACTTCAACATCAATGCTGTCAATACTGGCTCAGAGATCTCCGAAATTAACTGACTAGCTTTTTACAATACAAAGCATGTAAATGGACTACTTTTTTGTCTGTTCACATTATTCCTTCCCCCAGGCTCTCTTTGCATTTCCCTAGAACGTTGTAATTAATACAGCTTAGATCTCAAACAATAATCTGTCCTTATTTATACATTTTTTATGAAATTTAAATTTACATTTCAATCTCTTTTTTCAATAATTAATTATTCGGAAGAAACTTAAAACAGTGCTGAAAAAGTTTGTTATCCAAAGTCTCCCCCCCCTTTTTTTTTTTTTTTATAATTACTTACTACATTGTCAGCCCAGTCTGCCAACACTGTTGCTATATAGTTAACAGCATTAAGGATTGCACAGTATCGGAAGCCTAAAGAAGCTCTAGTCTCTTCCTTCATTACTTGAGTTAATCGAATTCTGAAATCATCAACTAACTCCTTCTGTAGGCCCAGGAACTGCAGTTTTCTGGAAGCTGTTGGAAGATTCTTATACCTATCTGGAAAGACATTAATAATATGTTTTTAGGTTTGCCAACACCAAATAAAAGCTTTTCAAAAAGAAACATTACAGTCATCTTACTATACCACCTTACACCTATGAGAACATCATATAGTGTTTAAGACATTTGACATATTTCAACGATTTCAGGGAACTACTCACTGCAAAAGCTAAACACAGAACAAAACAACATTCTTGCCCCTCCCGATTCTGCTAGCATTTTGTATTCTAATACTTGAAGCAATATGTGATTATACCACACCAACCAATGTGGCCCCTAAAGCATACTCAGACAGAGCAAGATAAAGCCATTGAATATGCAATTAAGAGTCTCCTGAAAACTTACTTGCTCTTATTTCTGTTCAAAGAAAGCAATGTTACTTTATTAGCGTCTAAATTGACACAGGTTTAAAAGGAATAGTAGGATGGTTTTATTACTGCATTGTAACAAATTATATTCTCTCAAGTATGAATGAGTTTTAATATGCCAAATAACAAATGTGGGGTTTTAATTATTTTGTAAACATGTCGCTAGCTTAAGATTAGTGCCCAAAATAAAAAACAGGAAAGCTTTTATTACATTGTAAACATCACAACTTTGCAACCTTATCTAGTGACCACTGCTGACAATGGATATTAAATAAATCCATTAGCTGAACTTTTTTTACTATTCGTTACAAACAAGAACAATGCCTATAGATTAATAATTACCTGTTATAACTAACAGTAGAGTCATAAAAGTTTCAGCGCAGTCTGGGACTTTCATTTCATCTACGTCAGTGATATCTTTGTATTGCGATATCCACGCAGCCTCTGATGAAAGCATAGAGTCCATTTTCTGAAGAGCAACTGAGATGCACGCAACTCGTAAATTGTTTAAGTTTTTAATTAAAAAAAAAAACGCTACAAAGCCCCCTCTAAAATACATAAATATAAAAGCCTTACCTCTTCTAGGTTAAATTTTACATTTTCAGGTTATAAAAAGTACTAACGACTTCATAGAAAACCAGCTTCAATGTATCTGCATTTGCAATGCTGTTAACAACTATGTCAAGAGTTGATTGGGAGTTTTGTTTTTTTAATAATTGTCTTGCTCCTTTCCAATATATTTTCCCTTCATTTCTCAAAAGTTAATACCCTTCCCCTATTTCAATTTAAAGCCCATCCTTGTCTGCACACACATAAATATAACAATTATCTAAAAATAAGGCTACTGGATTCCATACAGCTTAGAGGCAAGAGTCCTACAAACTACAGAAGCACTATTCCAGTCTAAACAATGTTTAGTCAAAATAATCAGAGTATAAAAATAGGTATGTCTTACATAGTAGCCCCATCCAAGTGACATATCCTATTTGAGAAGTCTATTCCTGTAACTATATACAGTTTCTGAATGTGCAATATAAAGGCCAACAAAATCCAATGGAAGTCTTACATTTTTTTTCCACTGTTAGCCACCTTTGGAAGCAGGATTCTTCTGACAGAATATGCATGCAACTGGGAAATGTGCTGAGATAACCGTGAACGCTGTACAACTCTCTCTCAAACAGAAGTACCTCATCCACAAGGTGACAAAACAGTGTGTCGTCATACAACATGCATGGAATATCAGCAGCCAGCTTCTCCAAAATCAACATTACTAGAGCACGAGAGAATTCAAGCTTTTAAAAGAAAAAAGTGAATAAAATGTCAGAGATAGGAAGTATTAACAGGTGCAAACATGCACATAACAAATTGCTACTAGACTGAGTTAAGTCTGACCACACACTTAGTGAAATCAGTGGAACTGGGCTTGCAAGAATATCTATCAGAGGTTGACTTACATATTCATATATATATATATATATATATAAAAATAACACCATGAAAGTGCTTACCCCAGCATTCACTGAAGATCCTGCCTTGTCCAGTATTGGTTGGATTTTGTCATCGAGGAACTTTGAATGATTTCCAATCCACATAAGTACTTGTGTTAAATACCACTCAGGCTTATTGAAAAAAAGAAAATAAAATACTAAATGCATCCAAACAACATTTATTCAAGTGCAACTGTTTTAAGACCAACTTCTAAAAAATATCCATCTCTTTTCTGCCTCCTCTTAATCAGTCTTGCACTGTGTTTTACTTAGCTTTGATTTTCATCAAAGCAGCAGAGAAGTATTTCTTGATTTGAATTGTCTTAAATGCACCAATTATTCTGTTTCTTCATAAGCAAAAGCTCAATTTTTTATCTCCCACTGCTCTACTGCTTTCTCACTCATGAGATCCTCTTTTCTGCTTTACCTACTTCCTCCTGTTCTTCTGTGTGGTCTTTATTTCTTGGTACAGCAAAAAGGATGCACTCCTAAGAAAACTCTTCCCAGTAGCTCTGTTCTTACTGTTATTGCACCCAACCTCAACCCCACCTTCTCTTTGGAAGGGGGAAATCTATAACTTTCTTATTTCACATTTTAATGCCTTTAAGCTCTTTCAGTTTCCACACTTAAAAATACAGGCTGCAGCTGTTACAAACCAGCAGTGAAACTCTGCTCGATGCATTACAGCAGCATCAACGTATTGAAACATGTTCCAATGACAATTCTCAGATAAAAATCTTTTAAGATAACTTGTACAAAAAGTGAGTCAGTTTCCAACTGCTAAAAACTCTTGTTGTATGTCAATTAAAAAATTTAAGCCAGAAAACTAATTATGTAACAGTTAGACTAATCACATTTTAAGAGCAGAATTCCAGCATTTTCAGTTACACAAGGTAGCAACACACAATGCCAAAAAATAAAGCCACAGCTTTGTACAGCCTTTGAGCTCAAGCAATAAAAACAGTGCAAAACCCTTCGCAACACAACAGAGAAAATGAATCAAAACTTCTGAAATGATGGGAGTCAGTCAGAGATTGTAGTAACACTTTCTAAAGGATCGGGGCAAGAGAGAAATATCATCAGGCCCAGAGAAAATGTTTGTGCATCTAAAAGGCCCCCAAGCACTATCTTCATGCCTGTACACACGTAAGCAGGCACAAGAACTGCACAGTTGTGAATAATCTTAGTTTCAGAAAGGAAAGTGTTAAAGCTATACAAATTTAAAGAAAAAAGGGGGAAAAAATAATTAAATTTTTTTAAAAAATAAAACTGCTTTCTCCCATACCTTGTTTAAGACATTGGTTTGCTTATTTCCAGTGAAATGATACTTGAATCTTTTCTGAAGAGGATTCAGCATGATCTGTATCGGAAGAATAATGGGTGGCGAAGGGGGTAAGGAGTACTTCTCTGGCAATTGTTTAGGTTTGGTTAACAGTTCATCTCTAAGTTTGACAGTTAAGGACACATTTAAGTGTTGAATTCTCCCAACATCATCATTTCAAGGGAATGGGTTTACAAAAATGAACATTTCTTAGTTCTACCTCATTGGCCAAAGGCAGTATTACACAATCTAGACAATTCCTCAAATATGAAGGATACTCAAAATACTTCAGTTTATATAATATTTAAAACAACTCAGGCTACTAAGGGTTATTTGTTCAATGACAATACAAATCACTTGTTGGCTTGATTTAGGAAACTCATATAATTAAAAAAAAAAAAAACAAACACAGAAAACCTCCATCATCAATACCAAACACAGGGGCTGCCCAAGAGACAGATGTATTCATATTTGTTAAAGGAGGATAAAGGACTCATGAGATTAATAAATGCAATATAAGATTGCCCATTTTCACGTAACTGATTTAAGTGACACAGTCTGTCAGGCCAAAACTGTTACCAACTCAGGGCTGTGTAGAATGGCCTTGTATCTTCCCACTCCATGATTTATGTTAAAAACAAACAAACAAAAGCAGCCACAACCACTCCAGGAAAAATTGCTTGGTTGCACTTTAGCTGTGTTTTATTTAATTAACAAAAAGAAAAGAACAGGATGAGCAGCAGTGCCTTCTGATTAACCTCAAAGGCAGACTACTATCGCTGCACAATAAATATTCTTCCATGACCTCCCCTTTTCACGAAGTCTCCTTCTGAGACACATATCTTCAAGCTTTCCCTCTTTTCTTTCTGGAATAGGACATATTATGAAGTGATTAAGGCTATGAAAGGAAAAGCATTAACTGTGTCAACTAAAACACAGATTACCATTTTCTATTAACATGGGCAATCTTGCTGAAGTATGTAAGGCTCTGATCCTCAGGAACCCTGAGCTGTCAGCTACCATGAGATCACTAGATACGATGACTTGTAGTTCAATTGTTGCTACTGCAAAAAAGGACAACTTTGGCACCTGGCATTTTCTAAACTAAAAAAATACATTCTAATGTTAATACAAATTAACATAAATTCAGGTTATCTTCTGTCTTTAGGGAGAACAAAATTTTAAATACTTCTCCCTGAGAATGTGCATCTCTGATTTTATTATTCTTACTGAAATACACCACAACCATTTAAAAGGATACGAAGTTTGCAATTTCAGAAGCTGACAAAACAACATCTCCAAATTGTTGTATACATCAGGAGCACTGGCTGGTGCAGCAAGGCCAAATGCCTGAGACTGTGGTGGCCCCACAAATGGCCAGCGGAGCTGGGTTAGTACCTCTTCAAAGTCACTGCAGGGCAAAACAAGCACTTTAACACAAACCTACAGTACAACGCAAAAATGAGGGAGTGCTGGTACATCCCTTACCTTGACAATTTGTCTTTAAGAATTTTATGCCAGAATTTAACAGTGGATCTCACAAAAGCAAGAAGATGAGTACAAGATGACTCCTGAAGTTTAATATCCAGTTCTGCCATGAATGCTAGAGTACTGGCTGCCTCTGGAACATTGTTAGTCATCAGATACTGCTGAATGCTATCACTATAAAATACAAGAAAAGCCAGGATCAAAGATTCATTAAAGATAACAGAAAAGAATCATTTCTATATCAAAAAATGAAGACTAAACTTTCTCAATTCTAAAATATTTTAATGATGGGACAAACTAAGTTACCAGTCTCAGAAGACATATGTGATACTCAGAAATTCTACCTTAACTCTTCTATTCGTGAAATCCATTTAAGATAGGCCAGGTGTCGTTCAATCTCTTCTACTTGACTAATGAGTACGTCGAGATCCTCCATCCATGGCTGAGCTTTCAACAAGTGGGTACTGATTGAATCAGACAGAATAGTTTCTTCCTCTAAAAGCCGATTCAGAGACTTTTTAGAATCTTCTGCATTCTTCAAGGCATTCTGAATTCTTTTAGGGACTTCTGATGAAACTGTAAGTACCTACATTCACAGACAAGTATTAAGTCTGACATAAACCCATTGTACTATGTAGAGTAGTACCATTTGGGATATTATTACATTGCTTTAATTCCATTAAACATCCTTAATCAATCATACAGCATATTCAGAGGAAAAAAAGAACAACAAAATAAAAGATGTTTACCTGTTCTTCTAACTGCTTCTTATTTGCAGTCAGCTTATCAATAAGGTTGTCCAGCTTCCTCAGAGAATCATAGTCATTTCCCACTTCTCTTTCCACAAATTCAGAAACATAGTATGGGATATCACAATGATCTAGATCTCTAATGACTTCTTTCTTCCTAACAGCAACAGCTGCCATGATTCTCTGCAATACTGATTAGACAATTTTAATTAGTCACCACTAAGACGAAACTCCGTGAAAAGCTGAGCATTCAATTTAAATGGAAACTTAAATAAAACATTCAATAAATACACTGCTTTAAATGAGACGATTTGCTGGCATAGATCTCAGCTGAGATACGATAAAACCTTGCTTGCACATTCAACTGGTGATTTATTATACATTAATTACTGAAGACAAATATGCCTGTTAATTTATTCCTTTTCCAAAACTCTGAATTTTATTAAAAATAGCTTATTATATAAGTAGCTTCTACCTACGTAACATAGAAAACTTGATGAAAAATACTAGAAAATAATTTTGTAAAATAAAAAGGAAGATAACAGTGTTCCACTTTACCTTTTCGTACAGTTTAGGATGTTTCCAGAGATATCAATTGATGAGTGATGTATTACTAGCAAAGTATCCACTTTGGTCTTGCAATGATTTGTAAGGTAAAAGCACCACTGAAATATTTGTAAGAAAACCTACACAGTTTAACAGAAGAGGCACTTGCTGATCCACACATTTGTCAACATCCAGAGAAAACCAAACGACACTGAGAGGATGATTATCTACAGTGAAACAAAAAAGACAACGACGACGACTGTTTGTCTAGTTCAATTCTCAACGTTTTAATATCACGTTCAAAACAGTGTTTAAAATTATACACTTGTGCTTTATCTGTTGCAAACTTTAACTAAGTGAAAACCTTATTAAACAGTCAAAATAAAAGAGTGAGAAAATGATGCAACTAGCGACCCAAAGTTGGAGAAGCAATAGAGAGTATCAGGAAAAACAAACTAGGAGACCAAGTGTCTTGCTAAGGAAGTGAATACAGAGCAGTAAAAACAATGCAAACAAATAATACCGCAGAAGACTACTAATCAAGCGGTGCTCTTTTCTTACTAGAGGAAAGGATCAGGGTATAGGAGGAGATAGGAACAGAACGCTGAGGAGCATCCTCCAACCTTCTCCCCGCTCAAGCCCGCAGCTCCGCACCCACCTTCGCCAGAGGGCCAGGCCGTGCCACGGCGCGTCAGAAGGCTCTGCGGGCCCCGGGGAGGCTCAAGCCAGGCGCCCCCCCCGCCGCCCACGGCCCAGGCCGGGCGACCAAGCAGCCCCTTTCCCCGCCAGCAGGCGCAGCCGGCGGAGCTCAGGGTGACGGGCAGCGGAGCCCGCACGGACCCGCGGAGCCCAGGGCTCTCACCGCCGGAGGGGCAGCGGCTGGGACAGGGCCCGGGGCAGCCGCTGACAGGCCCTCGGCTCCC